ATAAATAAACCAAGTATCAACTGGCTTTAAGTTAAATATAAATAAACCAAGTATCAACTGGCTTTAAGTTAAATATAAATAAACCAAGTATCAACTGGCTTTAAGATGAACATAAATAAACCAAGTATCAACTGGCTTTAAGTTAAATATAAATAAACCAAGAATCAACTGGCTTTAAGTTAAATATAAATAAACCAAGTATCAACTGGCTTTAAGTAGAATATAAATAAACCAAGTATCAACTGGTTTTAAGTTAAATATAAGTAAACCAAGTATCAACTGGTTTTAAGTTAATCCTAGACTATAGTTAATCACATCCAAAGAAACCAGTTCATAGCTGAAGCTAATGAAGACCAAAATTTTAACATGAATCGTAGAGAAACACAGGAAGAATAATAAAAATATATAAATACTTATTTCATCGTGCACGTGTTATCCCATTAGAGTAAACACGTCTTAGTATGAAACATTTAAGTACACTACTGAATAGAATGATTAAACTTTAATATAATATAAACCTTGGTTCTTTACTGTTAAGCATATAGCTACACAATGGGCTGTCTGTGCTCTGCCCACCATGGGGTCCGCACTTATACCCCTGTGCCACTAGGGGGCTACCCGATGAACAATGCATACTATTAAACACTAAAATTCTATACAATAAACAAATGAATTTCAAAAATTATTTCGTCTATTCATAAGCAGTGTAGAGAGTGTAATATATATGTATCAATAAAACGTTGTATTTTGTAAACTCTGGAGCAAGGATTTTTAGACATTTCGGTTGTCAGTAGTCACTGACAGTTGCGACAATTTGTTTAAGTTAATCTAGAAAAGTAAATTCTTCGTTTACGTCTAAACATGTAGAGTCATTATTTTGAAATGATTTTAATTATGTATTGATTTTAACGTTGTTTACTTATTATTTTAACATTATACACAAGTGCCGATATAAATAAATATATATATATCACTAGAGGGATATTCTAATGAATTGTCGGATTGACTGTCACATTGTAACGTCCCCTCGGGTGAAAGGGCGAACATGTTTAATAACGGAATTCGAACCCGTGGCCCGCAGATCGTGACTCGAGCCCTATAAACTCCAGGTCATGCTAGGCCTATAAAAATAATTAATCAAATCTGTAATTAATTCTACCCCTCAGGTATTACGGAATTACAGGTAAATCTTAAAAGAAAAATATATTAAACCTATTAGCGACGTATTTATATGCGAAAAATTCATTCATCAAACCCTACCTGAAATTCAGACGTTGCAGTATTTACGTCTGCGCAGACATCAACAGATACAGAAAAGGTGACATCATCGTAAGAGTCCACAAGTTTAGGGCCTATAAGTGTAAGAGCCAGTGGCTTAGTTGTTCGCCTCACTTTGTGAATTGTAGGAAGGTAGGTTTCTATTCCCAGACGATTCCTGGCCGTGAATATGATGATGTAGTCGATGTCGTCTTTTAGCTACAAGTAATGATAAACCTATATCTATAGCCTCTTTTCAAGTGTTCCCTTAAAAATATAACTTCAAAACACTTCTGAAACAGCACATTTTCATTTACTTATATTTTCATTCTTTTGAAAAAAAATGAAGTAAGATTTTGTGTTCTTTCCGTTTAATGTAAGTTTATATCTCCTACTACAGAGGCTGGGTACGTTACATTAAAACAATCCTGGAGCCGCAACATGTCGCTATATACCATTATTATGGTCTATCTGACAACTCTGCCGTATAGTTTCTACTGTATTAGGCTCTTTCGTAAATCTGTCACGTCCACGCCACAGCACTCCTCCCGGCAGATTTTCCGTAATCCATCTAGTGTGCGTGGATGACGGTTTCAGAGCGCCAGTATCAACAGGCCAATCATTCAGAAATCTATAGGTGCTTTGTCCAGCGACTTTACCTTATGTCTTCGTATGGAACAGCATGAATACCTATTTGATTATCCAGCTGTTTAAGATATGCGACGGCTTAAACGAAATGTTGTGGAAGCAGTTTGAACGCACGTGACATGTATAGCTTTTCCAGATAGATATCTTTCTTGATTATATTGTGTATTGTTGCCCTGGACACATTGACAGCTTTTGCCATTGACCTTTGTGTTCCTTTTCACAAAACGCCACATTTTACTTACCACAGCTGGAGTACAATTTATTGCAGGTCTCTTTCTTTATGGTCTTGATACCTCAAGTTAATCCATATTCCTTTTAATCTACAATACAGTTAAGTATGTTTCTATACCTGAACGCATCTTTATGAGCTGAGTGTATGAATATTTTGCGTCTGAAAGTGATTGTTTACATATCTTTCCCATTCTAGGTGGCACCACGCTACCTACGTTTCTTTTTATAGCAAAGTCACAATGAGCTAACTACTGTGTCCATCGCAGATAATCGAACCCCGGATTTTAGCGTTTTAACTCCATACACTTACCGCTGTCCCACCTGGGGACACACTACCTAAGAAACATCAAATAATGTCAAAATGTAGTTCTGATACATTCCGTTTTACCATGACTTGCTAATTTGCCTATGCAAAATCGTTTTGATATAACTTACTCAATCTTCTGTAATATGTAAGGAATATGTTTAAAGTCCCTTTTTTGGGGAAAGAAATTAAATGATTAGACAGGAGAAGCATGAATTTTGGTTTTTCACAATTAGGGAGATTATCACGTGCATTTCTTAAAGCAAAATAATAAAACTGGTAGTACACATCTAACATTAATATAGCTGCAACTTTTTGTCTTTGGAAGATGAAAACGTTAATGACGTGTTGAAATAAATCTAAGTGATGTTCTATAACCGCCATTTTGTATTTGATAATTTCCTACCTGATTACTTGAAAATGACAACAATCTGGGATCTGTGTTCTGTTGTCGAGAAATTTCCAGTTCTAACACGTGGAGACCGAAATATATAGTCGGATCTTTTGACAAGAGGAAAGAAAATATTTGTTAATCACACTTTATGCACGCAGTGCTTAATTATTGACATCTATTAATTTAGATTATTATTTTTTAAACGCTCTTAAACAATTTGTTTATTTTGTTGAATTTCGCGCAAAGAGCTTGGTCGGTGACGGGATTCGAACCCGTGACCCTTAGATTACATTACATTTCACGCTATTGTAAACTTTAAACATAAGTGTTTAGATGACAAAAAAGAACCAGCTATCTTACGTCAGTCTACATTTAAAAAGAAATTTTCAATTAAACTTTTACAGCTAGTTATTAGTTATAAATTTTAACTTATCTTTGATCTTCCTAATACAGTAATACAACGGTTTTGGAGTAGCTTAGGCCTAAGTAATATGAAAGTATTCGTGGATCTTCTTAATACAATAACATAACGGTTTGCGGTAGCTTAGGCGTAAGTAATATGAACTTATTCGTGGATCTTCCTAATACAGTAATACAACGGTTTGGAGTAGCTTAGGCCTAAGTAATATGAACGTAGTCTTGGATATTTCTAACACAATAATACAACGGTTTGGAGTAGCTTAGGCCTAAGTGATATGAACTTATTCGTGGATCTTCTTAATACAATAACATAACGGTTTGGAGTAGCTCAGGCCTAAGTAATATGAACTTATTCGTGGATCTTCTTAATACAATAATATAACGGTTTGCAGTACCTTAGGCCTAAGTAATATGAACTTATTCTTGGATCTTCTTAATACAACAATACAACGGTTTGGAGTAGTTTAGGCCTAAGTATTATGAACTTATTCGTGGATCTTCCTAATACAATGATACAACGGTTTGGAGTAGCTTAGGCCTAAGTAATATGAACGTAGTCTTGGATATTTCTAAGACAATAATACAACGGTTTGGAGTAGCTTAGGCCTGAGTAATATGAACGTAGTCTTGGATATTTCTAACACAATAATACAACGGTTTGGAGTAGCTTAGGCCTGAGTAATATGAACGTAGTCTTAGATATTTCTAACACAATAATACAACGGTTTGGAGTAGCTTAGGCCTGAGTAATATGAACGTATTCGTGGATCTTCTTAATACAATAACATAATGGTTTGGAGTAATTTATTTTATGAACGCACCTTATTAGATTCTACTTACATTTCTATTCCCATTATCACTGGTGGAAATTATCAAATATTATAACTACGAAGAGATCCTTAATAACGGATATGAATACATCTTGCCAAGTAATTTTCATATTTATAAAGTTAGATGAATGTATAAATAAAATGCATTGTTCCCAATATTTATGCAAAGCTACACAAGGAGTATCTATGCTATCAGCGCTATCCGCCAACGGTTGATTTATTCTAATCGAATATTGACCGTCACTGTTACAATTCATCCAAATGAAATATTAACAGAACTTTTAAGTTCACGTTTTATTTTATGACAGTACCATGAGTGGTCACAAATAAATAGACACCTAATTTTTCGTCATTTAACTGATTTATGCTAACTAATTTGTGTTCACAGAGCACTATATAAATGAAAATGGTCCGCACACTAATTATCTTGTGCTACAACATGCCTAGAACTCAAAGTTCTCTCGAATTGTCAGATTTTGTTAGAGGAAGGATAGTAGGTCAAGCAGATGGCGGAATAAGTCAGCGGCAAATTTTGCAGAATTTGGGAATCCTGCTTTCGACAGTCAATAGAATCATCGTGCAGTTCAGGAAACACGGCAAGGAAACAATTGAGCAGCGTCCGGGTCATCCTGGTCCATCGGAGAGGACAAAAGGGACTGTCAAGAGAAGCATCGAAATGGATCCCAGAGT